GAAACGTCTTCAAGCAACTTAAAGAAGTCCAGACGCTTTTCTTTGCAAGCTCCTTTGACTACGATGACCTGGATGACTGAGAACCTTCACAGATGAAAGAGGAAATTAACAAGTTGACAAAGACTCTGAGGGATGTCTTCATCACATCATCTGTGGAAAAGTTAGTGCAACACACAAACGGCTTCATCCTCTGCATACCAGGAAACAACCGGGATTAACAATTATTACTGAGAGCCACGATGGCATCATTGGAAGAAAAGAGGAAGACACAGTGATGAAGAACGAGCTTTAATTGGAACCACAGAGCATGCACCTGAAACAGCTTCTTCAGCTCTTTTTATAGCAGCACTTTATACACTCATATGATGCTTCATGGTTTTACATTCAGATGAGAGCGCGCCGATTTAGAAACATCACATGCAACAACACACGGACACGGGAACAGCAGGACGGACCGCCTCGTATTTACAGACCGATTGTTTCAGGATGTTATTCTTCTGAGCTCCTATTGTCCTCAAACCAACATTTACATGATGGAACGAATCAGCATGCGTGATGTCATCAAGCAGCACACAGCTCTTTGATTACACCCCCAAAGCAGAGGGGTGTTTCCTATACATGGCTTTTCAGTCACAAGACATTAGCGTGCAAGCCACTCTCTGGGCCTGCCTGAAACTCTGGAAGTGATAAACACAGGTATAGTGCTGCCAGAAGATCACTCCATCACTTTTTTCCAAATGCAAAATAAAATATTCACTGTTAGCTTAATTAGGTGAAATTTAGTCATGGCTTTAAGTGGATCTGAGTGATCGTAGCTCAATTGGTCTGCACAAAAACAAACAACAAAAAAAAATCAATAAAAAGCAGCAGTCACAAGCATGATGTCACAAGCATGTGTCCATCGAGTGGACTGATGTCGTCACGGAATAATCAAGTGTAAGGTCAGGTTTTACCGTGAGCTCAGATCAGTGAGAGGAGGTTGAAGGAGGATCAATGTTTGTGACATCAGAGAGAACTCTGTTGATAGGAACAGTGCGAGCTCCATCGAGTGGACTGAGACTCAGGTGGAAACAGCTTTACATGAACAGACCAGGGACATCCCCGAGCTCACGAAGGTGCTGTTACTGTGACATGAGCATAAATATGGGCTCTGTTGTTTCTGCTGGCAGTTATTAAAGTTGATGTTACATATGTTAGGATTCAGACATTAATCTGATCAACACGGTCAGAGCTGCATTTTCACAGACATGTGTGCGGTGTGTATGGCCCTGGGAGAGAAAAAAAGCTCTCTCTGTGTGCACACTGCTGAGAAAAGTCACGCAGACACGTTTTAATTACAAACTAATTGTCATGCAGAGCAATGCATAACTGCAGTGTTTCAGCACAAGTGCAGTCATACAGCCATGGAATCTTGAGTTTAATAAATACGCAGCATCACAGGCCATAAAGCTAACATTTATGGACGTAACATGGTTACTATGTAACTTGGGTCGGATCTCACTGTGAATCATGTTCACAGTTTCGGTCAGCAGTTCTGCTCTCCTCTGGATCAATCCTGCCTCCGTCTAAGCTGCAGATGTATTTATAACCCTGACTTTAACTTTACTAAGAAAAATGTCTGAGTGAGAGAAGACACATCAGGGAGGATAGAGCTGCGAGCAGCATGGAAGAAGTGATGAAGACTTCATGTTAGTTAGCCTCCGTGCTGAAACAGCGATAGAAGCAGAAACGTGTGCATCAGGTGCACAGCGGTCATTAAACAGCACTACACCTGTGGTGATGAACCAGCTAAATGATGAGATAAACTTTAAAATGTGAGAGAAAAAACAACCACACCCCTCTGTGGTGACGTGGTTGTATGACATCCAATATATCAGGCAAGTCTTGAGCAATGTGCACATGATATCACACAAGAATCCTGAATAAAACCAAAAGGTTGGTTTTTTTTTTAAACCAAATGTATTGCCCTCTGGTGGTCATAAAAGCAGAATGCAACTTTAAACGTTACACATATAAAGCATAATTTACATACAAAAACTGACAGATGTAACTTTGTCTGTGAAGCAGGATTTAAGAAATAAATGCTTAAAGTTAAAAGTTGTTTAGAGCCATCTTCTGTCAGTGATGTCATGTGGTTGCCATTTGTGTTGCCCCTGACTGCAACAATGAGTTTATGTTAAACTGAGGATATACTGTCCACTTTCACTGTCTGTCTCTTTAGCAGTAAGCGGCTCTTTGCTGTTTGGCTAGCTGCACTCAAATTGGAAAATCCAGCCATTAGCCATAATATTCGGGTTTGTGTGGAGGAGAGCCTGTTTGAGCCAGGTGACAGGTGTTTACTTGACCTACACGAACTGATTTTTCTTCCTCTGACCAAGTGTACCAAGCAGCAGAATCAGCTGATGCGATCAGCGTTAATTTATGCAACAAAATAATTTCTGTTCCCAAAAACATCCAGACAGTTTACAACATAACAGCCCCACTACATGCACAACAAAGCACAAATGTAACTATTTTTTTTTTACTGAAGCACAACTGGGAATACCATCAGCACGTCTGCATCGAAAACAGGTGGATGTGAAAAAAACCCAAGAAAGTGGAGCCTCTGAGGAAGAGATGCCACACTTTTTGGTGACCCTTTGTTTCTTCCTCACATCATCTCACTGACTGGATTACTTCATATTAGAAGTGAGGAAAAGCAAAGCCCAAATACACTACCAGTTAAAGGTTTGGACACACCGTATTTAATGTGTTTTCTTTATTTTTATTACTGTTGGCACTGTGAGAATCTACAGTGTCAACAGATGGTGGTGGTCATAAAAGCAGAATGCAACTTTAAAGAGGACATGAAACGTTACACATATAAAGCATAATTTACACCACTGAGGCATCAAAACTATGAATAAACACATGGAATTATGTAGTAAACAAAAAAGCGTGAAATACCTCAAAAAATGTTTTATATTTTAGATCCTTCGTAATAGTCCCCCTTTGCTTTGATTACTGCTTTGCACACTCTTGCCATTCTCTCGATGATCTTTATGAGGTAGTCACCTGAAATGGTTTTCCAACAGTCTTGAAAGAGTTCCCAGAGATGCTGAGCACTTGTTGGTTCTTTTGCCTTTACTCTGCGGTCCATCTCATCCCAAACCATCTCCATTGGGTTTAGGTCAGGTGACTGTGGTGTCTGTGCGGGATTTATCAGGGCTCTGATCTGAGGTGCTGTTAACTTGTGATTTCTGAGCCTGGTGACTCGGGTGAATTTATCCTCAGCAGCAGACTCCTTTGTCTTCCTTTCCTGGGGCGGTCCTCATGTGAGCCAGTTTCATCATAGTGCTTGGTGTTTTTTGCGACTGCTCTTGGGGACACTCAAAGTTTTAGCAATTTTCCGGACTGACTGACCTTCAGTTCTTAAAGTAATGATGGACTGTTTCTCTTAGCTGATTGGTTCTTGCCATAATATGAATTCTAACAGTTGTCAAAGAGGGCTGTCAGCTGTATACCAACCTGACTTCTACACAACACAACTGATGGTCCCAAACCCATTAAGAAGGGTGAGACACAAATGAACCCTGACAAGGCATACCTGTGAAGTAAAAACCATTTCAGGTGTCACATCATGAAGCTCATTGAGAGAAGGCCAAGGGTTTGCAGCACTGTCAACAAAGTAAAGGGTGGCTTCTTTGGAGAATCTAAAATATAAAACATTTAAAGTTATTTATCAATTTTGTTTTTGCTACATTTGATGTCTTCAGTATCTCCAATGTAGCCAGCTGATTGCATGGCTTGGTACACCCAATCTGATGAGGAAAAGCTGGATTGTGAGACTCCAGCTTGTCACTCTGGTGGCTCAAACAGGCTCTCCTCCACACAGGTCTCGTTTCTAAAGTGCTTTACGAACCCGAATATTAATGCTAATGGATTTTCCCATTTGAGTGCAGCTAGCCAAACAAGTTTCAACAATCAGTTTAACATAAACTCATAGTAACACAACAATTAGTTTTTAGTTTCCTTATTTTCCTCTGCGTTATCAGTTCTGTCCTAACCTAAACTAATGTCTATTACCTGAAACCAACCAACCACATGCTGTCATGTTCCATACTGACAGAAGATGGTGCTAAACATATTTTTAAAACGTTATATTTCATCGCTTATTTCTTAAATCCAGCTTTACAGACAGAGTCACATCTATGTCAGTTTTTGAGAGCAGGTCTCCATGATGGGAATTAGCCTATATATGTGGAACGCTTCATGTTCTCTTTAAGGTATTTCTTTATTCGTCCATGTCTGCTGCAGACAGTGGATTTTAACAGCAAAAAAAAAAATGATCACGATGACCCTAATCCTGTCCTGTCAGAATATGTAATATTTTAAAAATTGTTCTCTTAAATCTCAGCAATCAGGGGACAACAAAAGTCTTTCTACCTCATACAGACTGAAAAGTCTTTTTAGAGATTAAACATCTGCTACAGATTGAATCATTTCATCTGTGGACGAGGCTTAAAAGAAATGGTTAGGGGGTTGGGGTCATAACAGATGAAGACCTCACAGAGTTAAACCAACCTGAATCACAAGGTGACCCTAAGCTGGATAAGAAGCTAAGAAGATGAATGTTTGGATGGCAGAATATGCAGGTTTATCCAAGAAAATAGAAACTTCGATCTGGTATTAAGTGTACGGTTATATATGTCAGTTTAGCTGGTCAAAACACCACAAGTTGTCCATAATTTTGCTCTGAATCACTATCGTTGAGCTAAAAAAACTTTTTAGCAACGCTACGTTAATTATAATTGGTGTTTCAGATGTTTCATAGAGATGTTGATCTCTGTGGACAATCAGGACCTGCATAATCAATCAAATAAGTAATCTTGTTTAACTGAAACATAAACTTTCTGTAGACAGAAATAAATAACTTTACTGTGAAGCCATGGCTTTAACACCATTTTCCATTCCGATTCTTTGAAGAAACATTTGATTAATATTCACGCACGTAAACCTTCGGCCGTCTTTCGCACTTATAAAGCTGAAATAAAATCACCTAGTTTCTTTTTAAACCTAAACGTCTGTGACGAGATTTAATCTCATGTCGGTCCATTAGTAATAAGTACTATCATTCACACACAAAAACAAAACGCTCACAACCTCCACCAATCAGACAGCAGCACACACAAACAAACAAACATGCTGAAAATCACTATAGCAACCAAACCATCACACCAGAGAGGCAAGAAATATACAATCTGAATTCGACTGCCAACATGGCCGCCATCACAGAATCCATAACTGGAGGGGTTGGGTTCTGCTGCTGGGTTCTTATTTGTCGCAGGGTTATGGTTTGTCGCAGGGCTACGGTTTGTTGGAAGGTTAGGGTTTGTTGGAGAGTTCTTGTTTATTGGAAGATTTTTGTTTGTCGGAGGGTTCTTGTTTGTCGCAGGGTTAGGGTTTGTTGCAGGGTTCTTGTTTGATGGAGGGTTAGAGTTTGTCAGTGGGTTCAGGTTTATCAAAGGGTTCTTGTTTGTCGCAGGTTTAGGGTTTGTTGGAGGGTTCTTGTTTGTGACAGGGTTCTTTGTTTGTCGCAGGCTTGTTGGAGGGTTCTTGTTTGTCATAGGGTTCTTGTTTGTTGCAGGGATCTTGTTTGCTGCAGGGTTAGGGTTTGTTCGGGTGTTTCAAAAATTTACTGTTTGAGTTTGTCTCTGTGCTTTGACTTTGAGCTGTTTATTGAATGAGTTCCTTTCTTCTTAGAGGCTCAACACAGTGGACAGCATCTCTTCGGCACAGATGGAGGTGTTCCTTTCTGGATCACAGAACAATTGGGTCAGTCTGTGTCAGTCTAAAGAAGTTTGTGATTGGATTCCTTCAGGATTAATACTGTCCTTTAGCCACAGCCTGAATCCTTTCTAAAGTTAAAGTCACTGAACAGGAAACTGAATGGGTGGAAGAGCAGAGGTACCTCAGCACCATCACTGACCAAAAACAGTGAGATCATCTGATAAATGTGAACAACACCTCTGTCTCTGTTTATAACCACTGAATCCATCCTTCTTGGGATGATTTCTTTGGATAGCAACTTATCTCAAGAATAATAATAATAATAATAATAATAATAATAATAATAATAATAATAATAATATGGTCCTCTGTGGTGGGTTCACTTGGAAAAATAAATAGTTGCAATAGCATTGATGTCCTCCTAGACTCTCTGAGAGGTAAGATGTCTTTTTGTGAAGAGAAACTGTCCAAGTGTTGAGCTCCTAAACCTTGAGCTCATCATCTCCTGGGTGGAAACCTCTTCTCACAGCTTGTTGCTTGCATAGCATCACGCTCCTTGTTGCCAACCAGGTTTTGTGCTGTTAGTGACCAGTTTCAGAGTAAGGCTTTTATTTTGAAAGGTAACAGGCTAATCTTTGAACCTCCGTCCCTGCAGACTCTTATAATAGTTCTCCTGCTCAGTCTGGTTACGGATCTCTCGATCCAACAGAACCAGTGCTGTCTTGCGCCTCATGGCCATCTCCCTGCGCTGAGCATCTGATGACATCTCTACCTGCTGGTGAGGTGGGCTTGAGGATATGGTAGGGTCGACAGTGGCGCATGGTGAGGCAGAGCGGCGTGGGTGGAAGCTGCTGCTGCTGCGGCTGGCCGAATCTCCTCGATTCAGGTTAGAGAGGTTGTAGGTTTCTCGTGGGTCTCCCCCATTGGATGCCCCCACCCACTCCCATGGGTTACCATTACCTGATGGGGGCTGGGCCTGGGGAGGAAGCGGGACTTGGACAACAGGATAGTGGGGTGCATGGGCATCCACTGTGATGATACCTGGCCCCTCCCGTGGTTGCTCAAAGGGGTGGCGGTAGTGTGGCGAGTCGGCAGCGGAGGAGATGGCAGAGCAGGTGGATGTGGTTTCGGAGGACTTCTCCCCAGAGGACGAGGACGGCAGGAGGCCCTGCTGCTTGGACATGGCAATGACTTGCATGAGTCGTGGCTGGTTGGCAGCACCACGCCCGGATGCCTCCCCGGTTGTCTTCTCCCGGATGGCGAGCCACTTGGCTCGGGTTAGGGCGCTTTTTGGAGAAACCGGTGGGGGTCCTGCTTCTGGGATCTGTGGGGGTCTGGGTGTTGCCACAGCTTTGGCCCCCCCTGGAGGTGGAGTGGGGTTGCGACTTGCGTTTGCCCTCCCGGCATGCACTGCAGGCTGGTAGATCGGGGCTTGAGAACCGCCATCGTCAGTCCCCACAGAGCCTACCTCAGAGCCGTCTTCACTGGTTTCGTGCTCTGCCTCGTCCCGAACACCCATACCTCGCATCTCCATCGACTTCTGCTTCCACTCCGACACCAGCTGCTGTGACCGCATAGGGTCCATGGGCACCTGAACAGCCTTCAGACGGCGCTGCACTGGCTGCACTGGCTGGACCGGCTGCGCCGCCTCCTCAGAGGCATCGTTGGCCCCCAGTACACCATTTACATTCATGCTAGCTCTTGGTAGCGTGTTGCTGAAGGTCACCATGGTCTCCTTTCCCATGGGGCTTCGGGGAGCCAGCAGCTCTACATCCACACTGGCCCTCTTCAGACTTCCCATTGAGCCCTTCTCCCTCTGCAGGGGCCCCAGGCCATCCAGCCGGTCCATGGGAGCCGGAGCTGCTGCTATCTCATCGTTACTCTCTGAGGCAGAGGCAGGGCCTTTGTTATAGACCGACTCGTGTCCCCGCTCAGTCAGTGCTCGGAGAGGGTCCGCCTTTAGGGGTGGAGGAGGTGGGGGTGGAGTGATGTCATCAGATGATTTGAAGTTGGCGACAGCGTGAAGGGCCTGACGGAGGAGAATAAAATCTTGTGAGTCTTTGGAGAGTCACAAACCTCAAAAATACTCTGAAACCTGATCTAATAATCAGATCAAACCTCAGAGACCAGCACCAAGATCTGTTACATTATTACCAACCTCTTCAAAAACAACCAAATCTCCCGGTTTCAACAACTGAGTCGGTGTCTTTGGATGATATTCTATTAAATCAGGCTTTGAATTATTTGAAAGTCTTAGCTGTGTTTTTCAGGCTGAATGATTAAAGCTGCCTCAGTGACCTTCTGTCTGTATTTTAGGTGCTGTTCAGATGTTTCTTTGTGCTGGCAGGTTTAATATTCCCTCTTATTCAGTTGGATATTCAGCCCATCATCTCTTTGTGAAGCTCCTCGGCTGAAGCTTATTGGCTAAATCAAGATTTGAGTCACTTGGAGCTGCAGAGCTGTTGGTTTTTGATCTACCATCAGCCTCCGGTTTAAGCTGATGCAGTCGCCATGACAACACCAACACAAAGCCATGTCCATGACAACAGCTGCAGACTCTGGAGCTCCATCAGACAGAAACACACACCAGATGTGTCCTTTATCTCACCAGGTAGGCGGCGATGAAGGCTCCAATGAGGAAGCCCACATAGACGTCGATGGGGTGGCTACGATGCTGTGTGATCTGAGTCAGGCCAGTCAGCGCTGCAGCAATGGCAAATGCAAACACCAGCACGGGTTTGAGCAGCTTGGTGCTGTCTGAGATGGTCGAATTAAAGTACATCTGACAGGAAACAGAAGCTAACATCAGAGAATGCCATGATACAGCAAATTCAACACATCTTTATCAACACAAACAAAACTGAGCAGTACAAGCAGACCTGACAAAATTTCCTAAAGACATTTTTTAAAATGTGAACATTGTTTATTCTTATTTATTTTTGTGTAAAATGAATTTATTCTGGGATGGAAAATTAAACTTTAATCTGAGTCTAAAATCAGCTTTTAATTTACATGCGTTAAAAGCAGCATGGCCGACCCAGCATTTCTGGGCTGAACCTGAACTCTGACCACTAGACCTAAAATCACACGAGCTTGTTTCTGTGGGAAGGTTTTCTTTGTCGCACTTACAGAAACATAAACAGCAGCAAACGCTGACAGAGTTGCATGCTGGGAAGGAAACGTCTTTCTGTAAGAAGAGGAAGAAAAACAAAAACAAAACATGCCTCAATGATCAGTCTGAAAACTTCAAACAGCGACACAAACAGGAAGTACGGCAAGCACCTCGCAGCCATGATGGCGTGCTCATCCTGCCCAGAGCAGATGTCTGTGGTGATGTAGGCATTCTTGTCACATGACACACCCGCCAGAGTATAGTTAGGTTTGCAGACAGTGAGGAAGAATGGTGCGTGGTACCCCGTGGACAGCTGGATGATGTCAGTGAGCAGCGCGGTCGCACACAGGCCGAACACGTGCACACCTGCAGGAACACTTTTGACATGTAAGACTGGTGGCAGGTCACAGGGTACAGACAGGTGGATGTTCAGCAGGTTCTGCAGACACAGTCATACCTACGAAACGGACCGTCCTCCTCAGGAAGGAGTTGAAACTGCAGCCGCCAGCGTTGATGCTTCCCTCAGCTCGGCGGAGTTTCAGACGGGACTGCAGGCAGTAGATTGCTCCTTCCACCAGCATAATCTGGGGCACAAAACAAATCCACCTCAGCAGCTTGAAGCAGGACAGGCTGTCCCCGCCCACTTTCTACAACTACCAAACATGAAATACTAGTTTATGCACAGGTGGAGATGTACAGGTGAGGAAACCAAAGACACCAAAGACTTCCAAACGTCTGAGGTATTTTCATTGTTCGTGAGGTCAGAATGGAGAGTCAGGGTACCCCATCAACCATCCAACCACACACCCACCCATCCACCAGCAACTAATCACTTACCAACTTACAAACACCTATTAAACCACTCAACAGTCATTGGCCAACCACCAATCACCTATCCAACCAAACAACCAACCATCCACCAATCACTCATCCATCGACCAACCCTTCATTCAGCCGCTCAAAAACTAAACCACCCACCCATCAATCACATATACCAAGCATCACCTCCAGTCATCTTCTTAGCCTCCAATCCGACTAGGCAAGTGCGCCATCACTAAAAACATATTCCTACATAATCAATAAATTCTAATAAATTATGGTACTGAAGCAGCAGGTCCAGCGAAGGCGAGGCTTAGAAGCATCAACAGTGGGATCAGCTCATCTCCTCCATCCACGTACGGCATACTCAAATCTCTGTCGTGGCACCGGAAACCCACTTGAGCGGGCTTCACCACATCGGTCAGCTCCAGGAAGTACAGCGACACCATAGAAGAAGCCACAATGGGCAGCTGCATGCAGAAAAACAGATAAACATCTGTTAATGGGATCATCTGATCCTTGTCGACACGGCAGGAAGTGCTGCCAAAATGTAGCTCTGAGTTTACAGGTAGTGTAAACAGGAAGCAGAATCCTTTCATAGCCTCTGTAAGATAAGCTGACCTCTGTTAGTGAGTGTGTGTGATCGCAAGTTTCAAGTTTGGCTCAGTCATCTGGAAATCATGACCATAAACTCATGATGTCAGTGGGTTTTTTTTATTTAGTTTTTTTATTTTTTTACAGAGGTCCCGGCAGACACTGTCTCCCCATACACCTCCACAGGACCTGAGGTCAGCTGTTGCCCCCTGGTGGTCAGTAAAAAGAGTACAAGTGTAAGAGAACTCAGATTTTACGATTCAGACCCAGAAGCTACATCTATGTTTAGACTGTCTGAGGATCTGAACCATCAGCGTGTGGTCCATGGGCTCTTCAGATGGTCACTGAGGATTTTCATCAAATACTCGAATTATAATGAAAATTATGTTAATTTGTTCAGGGGTTTTTTTTATCCTCTAAATGAAAATAATTTAATAATAATGGATTGCATTTATATAGCGCTTTTCAGGGCCCTCAAAGCGCTTTCCAAACAGTTCATGCAGAACTTTTATGAAATGAGTTGAATTAAAGCGGAAAGTCTGAAATTCACATGCTGTTTGATTTGAAAAATAGCGCGGTGGACCTGACTGTAGGTACGGTCCTCTGTGTCATGTGACCATTTGTTTGTTTGTTGCTCTCACCTCTACGAAGTAGAAACATGGCAGCAGAGTCAGACTGTCCTTTGGAGGTTTCTTCTTCATCTTCTCTGAGGGTGAGGATGTCATCATCATCATCATCATCCTCATCAACCTATACACGGACGCGCACACACACACACACAGATTGAAGCATTATTTCCTGATTATGAAAAAACAAACATTTGAGGCTGAACTTGTCAAATCACAACAGAGCTGCAGGAGGGGCGGTTCCACAGACAGTAAAAACATGGGGCACTTTATGTCAGAGGTATTGATGCAGCCAGCAGGCCCCTAAGTCTTAACTGGAGAGAGCCCGCTGAACCTCAACCTTCAGATCCAGACAATCTCGCACATTCCTTCTTCTTATGGTTCCCACGGAAAGAAGCTCCACTACGCTCAGGCAGGAACCATAAGTTTAAATACCAAGGGACTACCATAAAGATCTTTTAAAATGTCTGAATTGCGCTTGCTCAAAAAAAAGAGCTGCATTCAGCGGTTTAAAACGAGACAAGCATCAGAGAAACGTCAGGTTCCACTCGCTGTACTCGGGCAGGGATAGCTCAGTAGGTAGAGTGGTGGCCCCATGATTGGAAGGTCGGGGGTTCGACTCCACTGAACGGCTACCCTGAGGTACCCCTGAGCAAGGTACCGTCCCTACACACTGCTCCCCGGGTGCTGCACTGGTGGCTGCCCACTGCTTCACTGGGTGAATGGGTTAAATGCAGAGGAACTATTTCCCTATGGGGACTAACACGCACACTTTACTTTACACTGTACGTGGCCCGGTTGTGCGTGACATACAAAAAAGATGTCCCCACCTTCACTCACCTGATAAAGCTCAGAAGATTTTTTGATCAGAGGTTCAGTAAGGAGTACGACGAGTACGCACACATTCCCATCGTTCATGATAATCAGCCGTACTCAAGATACAGATGCTCCCCTTATTGTTGGATTAATCAACATCCTACATGCAGGCGCATACCAGAAAATCCCCACCTTTGTTGTCTTTGACATGTGTGTGCAAGAGCATGTACAAATTTGTGTGTGTGTATATATATATATATATATATATATATAGACATAAATGCTCATCTGTTTTATTGCATCGCTCAGCCATCTTATTTTAGTTTCAATCTTCATGTTAATAGTTTCTAACTTGTCACAAAAGGATGGGAGCCTCTCCAGTATTAAAAGAATGTCTTACCAGAGGTTTCTGGAAATAATGTTTACTCTGCATCTTGCCTCTAAAACAGCGACAAGTTTAGATTTAGTTTACAGAAGCGCTGAATGATGTTTCGCGCTTTATCCCAATGATCGTTCTTATTAATATTTTCACCTTTTGTAACTTTCTCACTCAGTTAGTCATGGCTAAACATGCTGGACAGTATTGATGCTAAAAGGGCTGCTAGGTTTAAATGGGCCTGATAAAAGAGTCAGACTATTCAGTTGCCTTAAATACTTAAAATGTGAGATGGCATTCCTTCAGGAAATCCACCAACTGAATAAAAATGAAGACTTAAAGAAGGATGGGAGGGCAATATATTTCATTCCAATCTTAATTCTAAGACATGTGGGACGGAATAATAAAAAAAAAATCAAGTTTACTGCGACCACTGTCATCTCAGATCCACACAGAGGTCTCATAATTATTGACGGGCTCCTTCACAACACGTCTAGCGTGGTTCTGGTCATGCCACAAACTGGGATGATAAGTTTATAGAGAAAATAATCTTGTTAATTCCAGATTTGAACTTGCAGGAATTGATCCTGGGGGAGATTTAAACTGTGTAATAATACTGGATCAATCCAGTCATAAATCTATGAACCTAACAAAAAAGGCTAAGCTGCTTTCAACTTTTATGGAGCAGGTTGGAAGTGTTGACCTGTTTTTTATTCCCACAAGGTACAGTAGGTGTTTTTCTTTCTTCTCCTCATCATGCATCACTCATATGGCAGAATAAACTGTTTCTTTGTTGACCAGTCCCTTGGTACCTAACCAGACAGAAAACTTTCAGCTGGTAGGGGCTTTTGTGAAATGATATCCCTCAAAATTAATGATTTTTTTTTTTTTAGAATTCAATTAAAAATAAAAATCAAATCCGTCCTTCCCTTTTCTGGGAAGCACTAACAGCAGTAATCGGGAATTCTGCTAAAATAAGATGAAAAATACTAAACTGGAGGCGCTCATTAAATCAGTATCCATGGTGGATGGTCAGTACTCCATGGCTGTATCCCAATTGACTGTGTGCACGTTAGCATATGCTACTTCCGGTGCGGAAACTCCTGTGGCGAGCTTTGTTTCCGGTGTCCTATTCGCGCCTGGTTTACGGTCCAAAACAAGTTAAGCAAATGAATGAATCAAGCGGCGATTTACATTTCTATAGATGTCTTGGGCATTTACCCAATATATCTGTAAATGATGTTCATCGACTTGTCGATATTTTTCCCCCGCGCCTCAGGGCAAAAGAGAAAAGGGATTCAAATGTTATATTTCTCAGCTGTCCCTCGTTTATCGCGGGTGTTATGTTCTAAAAATAACCAGCGATAGGTGAAATCAAGTAGCCAATTTTATTTTTTGACGGTGCAAAACGTTTCGTGGACATCGTGGACATACAGTACTGCACTTCAGAGTCACACTGCTAGCGATCGATGCAGCGATTCTGTACTGTACAGGAGAGACGTCACGGAGGAGATCGTCTGCAGCGATCAGGACGCAGGACACAATGTGACGTAAAAAAAAAAGCATGCAAACGTGCACTAAAAAAAATCTGCAAAACAGCGAGGTGAAAGGTGAACTGCGTTATTAGCGAGGGACCGCTGTAATTTTTAAGGTAAGTCACAACATACTCTTCTTAAATACTAATGTATAGAAACCGTTACCAGCAATCATTCATTTTTTGTGTGGCTTTTTTCACGGTTTGTTAACATGCTGTGTAGGTGTGTACTTGACTAGCTGATCTCGACATAATGGGGGAAACATCTGGTTTGACTATTCTTCAGCTGTAGTTTGAATGCTGAACATTTGCCTGTTTAAATCATAAGACCAGTCACTATACACAGATGTGCTTCTGAATGTGGACGATGTGTCTTCTGCATGCAGTAATGCAGTTCTGCTTGTGTTGAGTGATGTAAACAACTGATCGATCTAAACTCTTTAAACGTCAAAATTGATCATTAGATTTTTTATGACACAACAGTGGTGAGTGTTCCCACCTTCTGCTTTTTGTAACTTAATGCGATCTTTCCGTTTTCGAGTTTTGGACATGATTTTGGAGTATATCTTTGCAGTAGCAATTGACTGCAAAGTAAAGCTCCCGGAAATGTACAACCCCACATCCGGTCTCAAACCAGGAAGTTAGCATTTTCTCGTGCACAGGGTCAATTCAGGGTCTGCAGCCTTAAAGTACGCAGCCTCAACGATCCTCAAGGACCGCGTACTTAAAGACCGCTAAGGGCGGAAGTGCGAGGCTTGTGAAATGGGACTGTCTAGCCTCCATTGCGCTGCCCAGGTTGCCTAGCAACCATGATACTAACAGCTGGAAACGTTACATACAGCATTGTTTGACAGAAATGAAGGAGAAAATCTTTTTTTCATTTGTTTGTTTCTACATGAGCTTTGATCATTCTCTGTAAGATTAAGGTCAGCTATTGAACGGCGTATATTTTAAAGTAAAGGCTTTAAAACCAAGTTTGTACAAACGTCACTAATGTCACATAACTTTGCCGACATGTGGCCAACAGTAATGTTTTCATGTTCTTCGTTATTGAACATTTGCACATAAATAAGTGACATAATATTCAGTACTTACTTAAAGTTTAC